GGTTTTGTCATGTTTCCAGAAAACCTTTAACAAACCTATGAAAGAACCAAAACAGGATTGTTTCTGTTGGTCCTCCGTGGACCTCACAAGTGGATGGAAGCTGGTGTCTAACCCTGAACATGAACCACTTTCTGAGATACATTTTCTAACCAAAGCAAACCAACAGAAAACCCCAGTTCAGCACCAGTAACAAACCAGCACCACCAGGTCCACCTCAAGGCTGCTTCAATTCTGCAGAACTCTCTCCTGTGTATGAACAGAGAGCTGCTGCAGCTTAACATGGAGGTGTGTGTGTGTGTGTGTGTGTGTGTGTGTGTGTGTGTGTGTGTGTGTGTGTGTGTGTGTCTGCAGTGAGGATGAGGCTGCTGCCGTGTACAAAGCTGCCCGGCAGCTCAACATGACCGGTTCTGGTTACGTCTGGCTGGTTGGAGAACGAGAGATGACGGGCAAAGCTCTGAGTGAAGCTCCAGACGGTACGACTTCTCCTCCTTCTTCTCCTTCTTCTCCTTCTTCTCCTCCTTCTTCTTCTCCTTCTTCTTCTCCTTCTTCTCCTTCCTTTTCTTCTTCTTCTCTCTTTCTGCAGCTCTGCTTCCATCCACACTTACTGTCAGAAACCAGCCTGCAGAGATCAAACTGCTGCCGACTCTTTGCTTCTATATTTACTCTGACGGGTTTATTTCCAGCAGGACACTAAAAATACGTCTTGTTCTTTGTAATCAGCTGAAAACAGATTCCAAACCGAGCTGCAGAGGCTCCACCTGTCAGGTCTTCACTTTGTATGGACCTCGTACAAAGTTCATTTCCACAGAACTGAAAAAGAACAGCCGGTGTTCTTGGCTGAGGTGGAGGTGGTCCATTTGAGGACAACAACACCATAAAGTCGGTTGTTACCAGAATCACTGCCAACGATTCCACGTGACCCGGCAGTAAGCCACTGTGGAAGCTCACATCGAGGCTGGATGCAATCAGCTGATGTTGCTGAAGACTATAAATCAGACACCTTCAGGTCTGTCTGGTCTTCATTAGGAGTGAATAGCGGGCTGGGTCCTCTGGCAGCCCGTCCATGTGGTCACAGCTCAGACCTCCACAGACCATCTGTCTGGTCTTGGTTTAGCGTTATGGGAACAGTAGAGGTACAACATAAAACACAGCCTCAGGACAGTGGACCGCCAAGAAGAGTCTGCTGGATCTGATCATGTTTCATGGCTTTATTTTACTGTAAGTACCTCGTGTGTACAACGTAGGTGGACTAGTATTGTGTTGAAGTACTAATACTTCAGGCCTCAAGGTTCTGGTGCTGAGAAACCCTTCGGTACCTCAGCGTTCTGCACATCAGGGATCCTCTGCAGACTGAAGCTGCTCTCAGTCGGTTCTGCTGGTCTTCAAGACTCGGTTGTTGTGCAGGTGTGTGAATCAGAGTGTTTCTGGTTCTGTTGGACCTCCAGGAGGACCAGCAGTAAACCCGGTGGATGGAACCACAGCTGCCCCCTGTCTTCTGTCTCTGGTAGTGTTGTAGGTCTCGGATGAAGGAAGCTAATCCTCGTCAGCCCGTTAGCTTCTCGTTAGCGTCCCAGTGTGTTTCTCTCTGGGTTCTTCTGATGCCGGTTGAACGTTTAAACACCGGAGAACGTGTTTAAAGGTTCCTAACCGCCGTTTCTTTCTGCCTCGTTGTAACTGTGGCTTTAAATGTGTCTAACATCTTTTTGTTTGTTTCATTCTATAGTGTGTGTCTCCGCCCGCCGCCCGTCTGCCCGTTAACAGTTCAGCCAATAACAGTGCTGCTATGTGTGTTATGGGGGGAAGGGGGAGGGGAGGGGAGGGGGAGGGGCTAATAGTTGCTGCGGTAACCGTGACGTGTGTCCAATCAAACACCGGTAAGATGCCGCCGCTGTTTTCTGTTACCTGCTTGATGCTTTGCCCTTTGCCATTGGTCAATAGAGGCCCCGCCCACTGCAACATGCAGCCAGGGGGCGGGGCTTATTGAGTCAGCTGATTACTCAGGCAGCCAGAAATATTCCTGCTCAGACACGAGATCCAAAAAAAAAAACCTGTTCCCTGTGGATCCTGTAATTCACAAATCTCTGAACCTCACGTCTTTACTNTCCGTGTTCTTTCGGGCTCCATTAGCTGCAGGTTGTAGAATATTCAGAGACTCTCTGATGTGTGATTGAACCAAAACCTCTCAGAGTCTCTCAGATGTACAATATTGATGAAATGTCATCAGTCCCAGAATATCCCAGCACTCCCAGTCAACAACGCTCCAGTTCCTGCAGTTTATTCTGGAGGATTTGGAGAACTGATGAAATATTCACACATTTTATCAGGTGCAGTCTGAGTGCGTTTGATTTTCTCACCAGCAGCAGCTTCTACAGGAACACTGAGTGTCTGTGGGTTAATAATCAGAGTTTCAGCCAATCAGAGCCTCTGATTCAGGTTTCTTGGACTGAGCAGTGTGGAGATGTTCAGACTGACAGACGACAAGCTGTAGTGTCTGTGAGAAGTGCAGCTGTGCTGACGGAGGTATCGTCCATGTGTCTGTCCTCAGAGCATCCACCTGTCCTTCCTGAGGACGGTGCCTCCATATTCCCACCAGGCTCACGTCTGGTTCGACCTGATGAGAGAGTTCAGGTGGAACCACATCATCCTGATCGTCAGCGACGACCACGAAGGCCGAGCTGCTCAGAAGAGACTGGAGACGCTGCTGGAGGAGCGAGAGACCAAGGTCAGAAACCACACTGTACACAAAGTACTGCACTGTGCACTATATACAGTACTGACCCTTATACATACACATATATATGTTATATACACACTGTACAGAACTTCCAGTGCAGATACAGTCGTGAACAGCAGTGCTCTGGTGAAGTCCATGTGCATCATGACAGTGTTCAGTCTCCAGTGACTCCATAACTCTAAAGTCTCTCTGATGGAATCACCGAAACGTGAATCTTTGTCACCAAAACAATCCTGTGTTTTGGTTCTTTCATACGTTTTTTAAAGGTTTTCTGGAAACATGATCAAATCTGCTGATCAGAAATCTTCATGCAGCAGCTTGAGTTATCGGTGTAGCTGATGTGGAACGTTGTGTTGATCACATGTTCTCAGCTTCATGGCCTCCTAACTTCTCCNCTCGTTTTTACTGTTTAGCCTCGTTTTTACTCTTTAGCCTCGTTTTTGCTCTTTAGCCTCGTTTTACTCAGATTTAGTCCATTTTTCGTGACTGACTCGTGATGAGTTCAAGGACCAACACAAAGCTCACAGTCTGCTGATTCTTTGTGTTTTACGGCGTCGGGCTGATCAATGGAGTCATTCTGATGTTTTTTTAACAACGATGTGACTTTCAAACCGGTTCTGAGGTGAAATTACAGGATCTGATCGATTAGAGACAAAAACAAACAGTCAGGTGAATGTGTTTAGTGGGACAGTCGATCAATGATCACCTTCTCCGTGATCGTCATCGCCAGTCCACCGGTCCTGTCCTGAGACGTGCTGAGCGTCGCTCTGACGACCAGCGAGTCCTGCTGACGCTCCTCTCTGGCTGCTCTGTGATCGACTCGTCGCTCTGTTGGCTTCTTGTTTCAGAAACATCCTCACCGGCTGCTGCACTCAGAAATGACGAGTTGTGTTTCTGCACATCCAGATGTGTCCAACATGACCCGTCATCCTCTGAACGTGTGGCGAGACTCTGCAGGTCCTGTGGTTTGTCTCTGGTCCAGGAGGTTCCAGGTTCCTCTTCAGGGAACCGATTCACTTTATTCATTTGGATCCTTTAGTTTTATGTTCTATGTGTATAAAGTCCAGAAGCAGCAGAGCAAAGCCAAATGATTTATAAGTGATAAAATGAAAGTAGCCCTGTGATAGACTGGTCACCTGTCCAGGTGAACCTGCCTTCATCCTGAGCTGGGCTTTGAACGCACAAGCTTAGGGAGCAGTCACCTGCTTTTTGTAAATACTCATTTTCAGAGTTTAGTTTTCGACCTCCAGCACATGACCTGACCTCAGAGAACGTGAAGGTCAAACAGGTAGAAGATGGAACTTTAGATGTTCTGGTTCCTCACAGATTTGACTCAGTTACTGAACAGTTTAATGAACTAAACTGAAATAAGACGCGTCGGTTTGAACTCGTACGGTTCTATGGTATTTAATTTGAACCACAGTTTGGAGGTTTTTGTTTCTGAGGTCTCCATTTTATTTACTTCCTGTTCATAACCTGGTAGAACACTGAAAGACTGATCAGCTGTTTTGTTGTTTCCATTATTCCGTCCACCGCTGCAACGCTTCCCTGAACAGAAACCTGTGACGCTGCGACATTTTGGATTCTGCTGAGGTTTTTCTTCACCAGACACTCGACACGGTATGAGGAAAAAGTTTCTGCATCTGCTGCTTCAGCTAGCAAACGACTGCGTGTTAGCACTGTTAGCATTCCTCGCTGTGGAACACATTCATTTAAATAGAACAACTAGCTTTAGCTGTGAGCGTTACATGCTAACTGTTCTGAAGGTTTGGCATATTTTTGATGTAGAAACGATAAGAAGTTACATTTCAGCTAGCTGTTTATATCCAAGTTTGACTGGAGAATGCTAACGGTGCATGCTAGCCATTCACAGTAGTTTCAGTTGAAGATAGCGGATCTGTTCACAGCGTGTACATTTACGTAATTTATAATTGCTAACTGTAGCCAGCAGAGTCTGGGTGGAACGCTAGCACCACCAACAGATACTGTGAGGAATGCTAGCACTTTTAGCAGCTACTGTGAAGAATGCTAATAGTGTTAGCAGGTGGTGTGGGGGAAGCTAACAGTGTTAGCAGCTGCTGTGGTAATGCTAACATTGTTAGCATTAGCAGGTGGTGTGGGGATGCTAACAGTGTTAGCAGCTGCTATGGTGATGCTAATAGTGTTAGCAGGTGGTGTGGGG